CACAAAGAGCAACCATCATATAGGCTGTTCAAGTAGTAGTAGCAGCTCTTAGAAGACAGTACTAGTAGCAACTTCTGTTTGGGATTGGTTGATGGAATGCTGCGTACCCCACAACCAATGCCGCCAAAAATTCCCCGGCGACTCGAGAATGCAGCGTGATGGGCGTTACACTCAAGGCACGTCGCCCCCATGCGGGACTTAACCGCAGACCTTCTGTTCTTAATGAAATAAACGCAATTAAAATGCAATTGGCAGCCGTATCTATCTGAGCGCCTCTATAGCTCAGTGGCAGAGCGTAAACAGAAGGTCTGCGGTTCAATCCCGCATGGAGGCAACGTTTTGTAGAGTGGGTCGTTACGCTCTTCATGTCCACTGGTAAATATCGGGGTTCACTTGCCGAGAGCACAGAAATGAAACAAATTAAAGTGGAATTGATGGGCAGTCCTCGTCCGTGCGCCTCTATAGCTCAGTGGCAGAGCGTCTGTCTCGTAAACAGAAGGTCTGCGGTTCAATCCCGCATGGAGGCAACGTTTTGTAGTGTGGGTCGTTACGCTCTTCATGTCCACTGGTAAATACTCGGGGGTTCACTTGCCGAGAGCACAAAAATGAAACAAATTAAAATGTAATTGATGGGTGGTTCTCAAATGTGCGCCTCTATAGCTCAGTGGCAGAGCGTCTGTCTCGTAAACAGAAGGTCTGCGGTTCAATCCCGCATGGAGGCAACGTTTTGTAGAGTGTGATGATGTGCGGCCCAAGGAGTATGTCTTTGTCCTGTTCCTCTGCCTGACATCACATTCCTGAGTCCGCTTCTGCTCCTCAACGACTAACTTCTGACGAACGAGAGCATGTAGAGAATTGGATTCGTTGTTTGTAACTCGTATCTAAATTATTCATATCGAAGGCTTCTAAAACTGAAAAATACCTTCTATAGGGATTAGATGTAGAATATGGAGATCACACGTGAATGTTGGCGCCTCAGGCCGCTATAGCTCCCTTAATACGCAGTTGTTTGTGAAACTGTGGAATTATCCGCCCACCAGCCGTCCCTCCTCTCAGCTTAATACACGTCTTGCGCCCTGAAACGTCAATCGGAACGCCCACTTGATTGGAATTTGCCTGACAGTACTCCTGGTTGTTCCTTCTTCCTCTCTCAAGCATAGTCTTCCGTCCTTGTGTAATCTTTCAGTTCCTCTCTCGTCTCTGAAGGAGAGAGAGAGAGAGAGAGAGAGAGAGAAAAGTAGAAAACAAATTGTGGCAAAAAGTCCTTGACCCGCATGCGGAGCACGCAAAACCGTCACACTTTCCGCAATAGCAAATCCATTGGATGACCGATGCTTTCCACTAGCACTGAATGACGGACGGGAGGCGAGTGACATATCCGGTCGGCTGCGGGGGCTGGAGCGGCCGGACGGATATCGCACCTGGCTTCCATCCGGCTGCCTCTTACCCTCTCAGCTTCACAGCCTGGGGGCCCTCTCCGGTCTGAGTCCCGCCTAGGGTCGAGACATTTGCCCATAACTCGCCGTTATTGTGATATCTACTACTATAGCTTAGCAACTGGTTAACATTCGAATTCAATTCAGTGACGATTTTCAGGTGAGTCTAGTACGAAACTGCTGGCGCGAAAACCCGGTGAACCGTCCGACAACAGATTTCATTTGTGAAGAACTTCAATTGATGCTGTCAACAGCAGGTCACTCAAATCTCATGGATCATGTCTTCTCAATAATGGAAGAGTACACATGGACACTGGAACAAGAGGTAGGGTGGCAATACATGTGAAATAATAATTTTTCAAGAACAACTACGAATATTGTTATTTACAGATTGGTGAACGCACCAAAGAACTTACAGAACAAAAGAAGAAAGCAGATCTTCTTTTGAGTAAAATGTTGCCAAAGTGAGTTTTCTATTACGGGAACGAGAGGAATCGGGTTTCGCAATTGCAGTTCGTTAGTAGTAGGATCCAGTTATGCATATGTAAGTACTATTTGACTCCCCAGTAAAGACCAAAGGAGAAGGGACCATCGAAAATTGCCTGGATCAGGTCCGATTTGTTTTCGGCATTGGACGAGCATATAGAGTAAGCAGAGAGACGCGAGAGGACTTCTCTCAGATTCAAAAGGGGGGCATTAGAAATCAAACTGCCTACGCCGCACGAACGGGAAAAATTCAATCGCGACGCACACACTGCAGTCCCCACATTTTGCAGAACACTCGATTCATATATACTGCGGGAGGGCGTGGACTTGCAGACTGCTTGCGTAGTACCTGAGCGCCCTTGATAACAGCCCTCAGAGCGGGAATAGGGGATCACACTGACGGTCATGTTGTTCTAAGCTGCACTCTTTTCCTCAGGAAAGGAATTCCCCTTGCCTGAAAGCTACTGAGCACCGATGGCTGGCGGCGTGCGGCTAACGCCAACAATCGGTCGTGGAAGTGGCAGAGTAGCTAGTGTGACCCAAACGACCTCTTGCAGCCCTTCCAGCAATGGACGAGCATCAGCATCGGCGCACACTTATGAGCGGGCGAACGCAATGGGCGTCCAGGTCGGTATGTTGCAGCTTGGTAGGATCTTATAACAGGAGTAACCCCTCCTGGAGAAGAGCTTCGACAATGCACGTTCCATATGAGCATGGACATCGTCTGCAGGCCGTGTATCAGACCTAGTCATCTTGGGGATTTGTCGTGCCAACTGCCTAACAAGCAATGCAATCAGGTGACCTGACGTGCTTCGAGCACCTTTTCTCAGCGAAATGATGTGGTGATCGTGCTCAGGGAGTAAGGCTGCAGTCGTGCTCGCTGCGGACGCTGGAGCGCTTCAGGAAACAGGGTTGCCTGTCCTCCACCACCTCCCAGCTTCCACAAATGGTGAAGAACAGGCAATGTACGGGAGCCCAAACCACTTCCTACTGGACACCTCAGCGGTTCGCAACAAACAAATAAAACCTTCGAAAGATCCAAAATATTGCCCCAGGGAACACTCTTCTTAAGAAGGCAAGTTTGTTTATATGCTTGAAAACTGATTGTAAATGGTAGCTAACGCCATTACTCCGTTTAGCTCAAATGTTGCACACATTCGCGCCCTATACAGTTCTGGAGAACGTGCAAGAACGTCTCAAAATGGCCACTCATTGAGTCCGAAGGATCATTCGAAAACGGCGTGGACTAAGTGTTCTTTTCCGACGTGCGCTCGCAGTCACTATTCGTCGCAGCGAAATGCACTCCATTCAGAGTATTTCCTACTCGAACTTCCTTTTGCCCATGCCATCTTGCCTAACTAGCTAGTTTTGTCAACTCGATTTTTTAGGTCGTGGGTCTCTTGAACGAGCTCTATAGCAACTTCGACACCTTGATTGAACAACATGGAGTATACAAGGTAGTGCAAGAGCAGTAATAGCGAGACGAAGTCGCACGTGATCATTTGGAGATTGCCTTATTGAGAAAAGTTTTGTCAATCTGCGGAATTATGGAAGGGGTGTGTCGAGATAGGAAGAGAACCAAATTATGAGGTTGATCTCGGAATACCGTAGAATCTAGCAAACCACGTGCCGCCAACACTCCCTATCATACCAGCGCCGAGACAAATTCTCACGCCACCGTCGACACCAGGCCTGTCGAGGGGAAATTTGTTGAGTACTCGCCATATTTCCAATGCTGCCTCACGCTCTTCCACCCTATCCGGTCGTGTATCTGCCACCGCCTCCACAGCTAAGGCACCCTATTATTTTTTAATGAATCAGATGCTTCTCCATTTCCTCTGCCTTATCGTGTCTTGTCGCAAGAAAAGCGATCAGAATGTGGACGCAGTCACTCGTAAAAGAGCTAGGGTATACTTTTCCGGTGGACTGCCAATTCTGCTACCATGGTGGCCATGTGCCGTGCTTGCTCTGAACAATTAGTAAGAAAAAAATTTTCTCGAGCGAAATATCGTCATATAAGTACCCTTTATTCCGCGGAAACGATGGACGAGACCAAGGCAGCACATGGCAAAGCAGCATTGAAGCATCTGAGACTGTACTCATTCATAATGGGTATGTCACATACAATGGATGAGGAACGCGGAAGACTGTGACCACGTGCAGCGATGTCCGAGTGGTTAAGGAGTTGGACTTGAAATCCAATGGGCATTGCCCGCGTAGGTTCGAACCCTGCTCGCTGCGATAGTTTTGCAATTATGTCGGCCTCGATCTTGTTAATAATTATGGCAGCGACTGTTATGGGTGAACTCAAGAGCAGTGTGGCGCAGTGGAAGCGTACTGGGCCCATAAACCCAGAGGTCCGTGTGATACGAATCACTCGCTGGCTAACTGTTTTGGCGAGATAATTCTCTTCATCTTGACGCTTGAAAGACCATATATTCTGCATGCATTAGGCTGTGCCTCCATGCGCCTTGCAAAAGGTTGCCTCCATGCGGGATTGAACCGCAGACCTTCTGTTTACGAGACAGACGCTCTGCCACTGAGCTATAGAGGCACTTGTCGTCCGTAAATAAATTTATTTGTGCTACAAATCTTGTCGCGCTATCGCGGTCGGAGCAAACAAGGACTTCGGAAAAGCAATGAAGATTAAGTTCATGCAGCACCTCCATGCGCTGAAACGCAGATCTCCCATTTACGAGGCAAACACCACCACTGAGCAGAAGGGGCACGCATTCCCTCCTTCCTGGACACAATCTTCTTCCGGTATGACATTATTCAATGAGATTCCCACTGCATAATGTGCCAGGTATTGGAGTTGCGTAAAGTCAGCTTAGCTGCAGCCGCTCAGGCGTGTCAGGGGAAGGGGGGGGGGGGTGTGGAAGGAGGGCGGGCTGCGTTTGACGCGAGTTCAGCTCATTCTCCACCAATGGATACAGTTGAAGCGTCTGCAGCGAGAGCAACTGTAGAAGGAGCAACGTGGAGCATTGAGGATCTGCTGGGCCTATACCTCAGAACCCGGTAGATTAAAACCTGTAACTTGTAATAGTTTTGCGACGAAATACTCAGCTGTTTAATATTTGAAATCAGCACCATGACAAACTGTGACTGTTCAGTATTCAGGGAGGTTCATTTGGTGACATGAACGAAGAGGAACATGCTTGAATGTGCAGCGATGTCCGAGTGGTTAAGGAGTTGGACTTGAAATCCAATGGGCATTGCCCGCGTAGGTTCGAACCCTGCTCGCTGCGATAGTTTTGCAATTATGTCGGCCTCGATCTTGTTAATAATTATGGCAGCGACTGTTATGGGTGAACTCACATAGAGCAGCGTGGCGCAGTGGAAGCGTGCTGGGCCCATAACACCCTGAGTTTTGTCGAGATATAAAGAAGTTGTGCGATGCGAAATAAAGAAGTTGTGCGATGCGAAAGAAATGTTTTACACGCAAGATTCAACGAACTACTGCTGTGGGTGGGGGGACACATGGGGGTATAGCTCAGTGGTAGAGCATTCGACTGCAGATCGAGAGGTCCGTGGTTCAACTCCGCGTGCCCCCTAAATTTTGTTGAGATATTGGGTTGTCCCAAAAGTTCTGGGACACTTTCAAACTTTTTTTCGAATTAAGTTTATTCCAGTGGGAAGCAATTTTGATCAGCTATATATATGTCACCTTCATTGGCAACTTGTTGCCAATCACTACGCAATGTGTGGTTGCCCTTCCAGAAGCCTCTTAGTTCTGTGCCCAGAAAGGCAGCTGGGTCATTTTTGAGGTACTATCAAAAATCGTATTTTTTACCCAGAAGATGGCCGCTGTGGGATTAGTTTAGATGGCGATCGGAAAGAGCTAAGTCAGGGCTACACGAAGACTGTGGTGGAATTCCCCAGCTAAGCTTCGGGATCTCGAGCAGTGTCGTTTTCCAAATGTGTGACCCTGAGCTGTGGTGGAGTAGGCAAACATTGCTCGGTTTTGGGACCAAATGGTAGAGATTTTCCACCCCACTTTGCAGTTTGTACAATAGGGCTCCCTGGCGTACCCCACCACATACACAGCCTCACCGCCCTACTGGATTGATAGGATTGCGCGATCGGTTCTGCCCTTTCTGGGGGATCTAGCCGCTGGCGCTCCCAGGAGTGATTCATCTAGAGGCACCCACTCCATATCCAGTTACAGTGCTGTTCAACCAGCCCGTACAGCGGAAGCGGGAAAGAAGTTGTAGACAGTACCCACATGTGCTCCCCTTGGAGTACTGGTCAACTGATGAAAAATTTTGACCGAACTTCAGAACTTTTCTAAGGGAGCGAGGCCTTCTCTCATTTGTGCTTTGGGACCAGTCAAGTGTAAGGACTAGATAGCAAGTTGATTTGTACGAATTGGTTTTAATCAAGGAACACAGTAGGTCCAAATCCAAGGCAGGTGGCCTCCTTGGACGAAGTTTTTCACCCGGATAGAAGTCACTAAAGCGGAAGCAATTGAGCCATTCCAAAGCCGTACTGTGGAAGCTAACATCAAGATCTAAATAAGGGAAATACCGGCGAAGTGTGTCGAAAATGATGAATTTCAATTACCGTTTTTCATATGAGAACAGCGACTGCGAGGGACGGTGAAGAAGCTGTGGAATGCTTACCTCACACACTTCCCATAGACCACATAACTGGATCTCGAAATGGCTGCGGAAAAATCTGATACGAGATTCAAAAAGTGTCCCGAACTTTTGGGACAACCTAATATAATGAAGTTGTGCGATGCAAACAAATGTTTTAAACGCAAGATTCAACGAAACTACTGCTGTGGCTCGGGGAGACATGGGGGTATAGCTCAGTGGTAGAGCATTCGACTGCAGATCGAGAGGTCCGTGGTTCGACTCCGCGTGCCCAGAGATCGGTGGATCGAAACCACTCGCTGCTAGCTTTTTCTGCGACGTAAATCTCTTCAACGACGTTTGACAGACCATGTGTTCTGCATGCATTAGGCTGTGCCTTCACGCGTCTTGCAAAAAGTTGCCTCCATGCGGGATTGAACCGCAGACCTTCTGTTTACGAGACAGACGCTCTGCCACTGAGCTATAGAGGCACACGGCGCGAGTCCTCCGTAAATAAATTTATTTGTGCTACAAATCTTGTCGCGCTATCGCGGTCGGAGCAAACAAGGACTTCGGAAAAGCAATGAAGATTAAGTCCATGCAGCACCTCCATGCGCTTTGCAAAAAACCGACTCCAGGGGGAATTGAACCGCAGATCTCCCATTAACACCACCACTGAGCAGAAGGAGACGCATTCCCTCCTTCCTGGACACAATCTTCTTCCGGTATGACATTATTCAATGAGATTCCCACTGCATAATGTGCCAGGTATTGGAGTTAGCTGCAGCCGCTCAGGCGTGTCAGGGGAAGGGGGGGGGGGTGTGGAAGGAGGGCGGGCTGCGTTTGACGCGAGTTCAGCTCATTCTCCACCAATGGATACAGTTGAAGCCAGCGTCTGCAGCGAGAGCAACTGTAGAAGGAGCAACGTGGAGCATTGAGGATCTGCTGGGCCTATACCTCAGAACCCGGTAGATTCAAAACCTGTAACTTGTAATAGTTTTGCGACGAAATACTCAGCTGTTTAATATTTGAAATCAGCACCATGACAAACTGTGACTGTTCAGTATTCAGGGAGGTTCACTTGGTGACATGAACGAAGAGGAACATGGTTGAATGTGCAGCGATGTCCGAGTGGTTAAGGAGTTGGACTTGAAATCCAATGGGCATTGCCCGCGTAGGTTCGAACCCTGCTCGCTGCGATAGTTTTGCAATTGTCTCAGCCTCGATTTTGTTAATAATTATGGGTCAATTCACGTAGAGCAGCGGAAGCGTGCTGGACCTAGAACCCTGCTAGCCGAAAGCAACGAGCAGCTGTGTTTGATTTTGTACGGAAACTAATACGACAGAGAGTCGATCTCAAATGCGCCTCATTGGCTTAGTGGCAGAGCGTCTGTCTTGTAAACAGAAGGTCGCTGGTTCGATTCCAGCATGGGGCAACCGTTTTGCCATTCAACGACGTATAACAGCTCTGATGAGTTTCAACTGCAGATTCTCTGAATTTATAGGCACTGCAGATTCTACTAGCACGTGCCTCATTGGCTCAGGGGCAGAGCGTCTGTCTAGTAAACAGAAGGTCGCTGGTTCGATTCCAGCATGAGGCATCCCTTTTGACCGACGGCCTAGATGTTCCGCGTGTTCCAGACGTCGGTGGATCGAAACCACTCGCTGCTAACTTTTTGCCCTTAATTCTCAGCAGCTTCACGTTTGACAAGCCCATATGTTCTGTTTACGAGACAGACGCTGCCGCTGAGTTATAGAGACTCGCGGGAAATATTGTCCTTAACCCCATTTATTTGCGCTAGAAATCGGGTCAGCGCTAATTATGGTCGGAGCAAGCACGGACTTTGTGGGAAGGACGAAAATTCACCCGATGCAGCATCTCTAGCCACTTTGCAATGGACTGCATGCGCTCGACAATGGTCTGAAGGAGATATCGCTCAATATTTGGTGACACAGGTGAATGATGCATACTGTGGAATGTGAATGAGGCATACTGTGGCCTTTACATCGACTTATGAGGATTACAAGTACCTAAAATTACTTACTACCTGAGAGTCAGTCAGTTGTTTACTTAGCAGACCACACCATGGGCAAGTTGGTGATAGCCATTTCATTATCCCCCCCCTCCAATCCTGAAACACAGCCTCGGGGCAATACCTGTGCAAGAGTGCAGGTAAGCTCACGAGAAAAGGACTGTAAAACTAGGAAAAAGATGTTTCTCAGTAGGTGGGGAATCGAAAAAGCTTACATCTAAGCAGCGGAGAGTTTTTAAGGCTCAGTCGTTCAACATCAAACACTCATTGTTCAAATTTTTGTCAGTACTGCTAAGAACTGCCGGTAAGAAGACAGATTATTTTCTACAGTTATAGGTCGAATCAATCGGAGACGGCTATCTCTGTGTATCTGGTCTACCTGCTAGAAATGGACATAGGCATGTGAAGGACATTGCTGAAATGTCTCTGAGCTTTATGGATTACGTGGAGAATTTTCAAGTGATCCCACTACCCAAAGAGAAGATTCAACTGAGGATCGGAGTAAACAGTGGTGGTTGTTTTGAATTCCATTCAGAATCACGGCGCTGCGTCCACGCGCATTGTTCTGAACATGCACGGTTATCGTAGAAAAGTCAACGCAAAATCAGCGACAATTGTTCAGTTCGGCGATATCCTAGGAAAGCATACAATGGGTCCTCTGGTCTTGGCGGCTCTAACACAAGTCAGCGCGAGTAGGGACGGTGTCTGCCCATCAAATGCATGACTGGAGGTGGGCCTACAAAGGCGAAATTCATCAGACGAACCTGCTAGGCCTTGAACGCAACCTATCCAGGGCAACAGACGAGCTGTCATGCCTTTCACATCCAAAGGTAAGGACCTGGCTAGCACGACAGCTAGTACTTCCTGTTAGCCTCAAGCGGATCAGAATCTGGAGAGCATAAGTGGCAAAAAACTTCGGATGTAAAGTACTATGGCTGGCAGCATGAAAGGAGAGCTCTACGAAAGGTTGGTGAGACTTCTGGAACCCACAGAATCCCCTATTGCAGCTTGGATGAAGTTCGTCGACATCAGTGAACCTTGCCTTTCCTGCCGCACTGCGACTGTAAAGACAGCCTCAAGACTAACTGTGCGCTCCACATATTCTAGTATAAGGAGGCAATGCAGTGTGTACATATGTGTTGCGTGTCGTTTACTAAAATTCAAGTCTGTACGAACCCCTCCCCCTACCCCGAGTGAGTTTTGATCTTCTGCTTGGATTTCTTTCGAGGTCCCCGACAGGACGTCGGAAACGCTAGAGAAGTCGCCTGCTGTATACAGTCGACATCAAGAGCAGGGCACATAGTTGTTGGGGAATCCCCTACAGTTTCTCAGCCCAACTACGACCCCTCCTGGGGAATCCCCTACAGTTGTTGGGGATTCCCCAGGAGGGGTCGTAGTTGGGCTGAGAAAAATTTATTTTGATAGTTGATTTTTCTCGCTTCACGGACGTTGTAAAAGGGGGGGGGTCGTACTTGCTCATTGTTGGGAGGGGGGTCGTATTTACTTTTTGGCCTTCTAGGAGTGGTGGGAGTGGTGGTTGACTTTTCGTGATTTTCCTGTTTCATGCGTACTATACCCCCCCCCCCCCCCCCGCTCGACGGCTCGATTCGATGAGGAGGGACAGAGGGCCGGAGGGGGGTCGTACCAACCCCAAAAAAAGGGGCCGGGTCGTACGGACTCGACCAAAATCCCTATGGTATCAAATTCTAACAGAAGCTACGACTAACCTATCAGATTTGCAAGACTAGCTGGAAGACACTTACAGCCTGGATCTCTTCCTTGTCAAAGCAGCCTGGCCGCATATCACAGGCTCCCCACTTTTGCGACCGTACAGTAAGTGACGAGGGCGCTGCAGCTGTCAAAACATGAAATTACGCCACCCGTAGAACGTGCTTCACCCAGGGGATGAAGGTCATCCTCCTGCTTCCCTCCTTCGTCCCAGGTTTCTCGATTGTGCACAGGTGTCTCACTCTTCCAAGTATTCGTCCAATCTAGAGGCTTATTTAGGGCGTCTTCAGCTGCTTTTTGTGGGGCCTTTTATTTACTGGTAAGTCAATTATCGTCTGCAAATTTATGTTTCCTCCAAAGCTCATGAACTGTAATCACGAAATGAATCTCAAAATAGGATTCGAATTGCAGGTTCGTGCGTTGCCGGAGTCGTTGGTCTAAGCATGCCACGTTACTGTCTATTCGGTGACACCGTTAATACAGCATCAAGAATGGAAAGCAACGGAAAACGTATGTTTGATGACTAATAAAAAATATTTGAATGGGAGTTGTTTGGCGACCAGGGGACATTTTGCACTTTAACGACTTCCCATCGACGTGTCGACCCATCTAGACAGCCTCTTCTCGAGTTGACAGGTTTTACCATGATGGCTTGACGAGCTTGCTCCAGCTTCACAAGAGTTCACAGGTTTCACCAGAGTGAGACTTGTAAACCAGAACTAGTGAAGCAACGAAAGTGCAAACCCCCCGTCGGCAAACTGCGCGTCCTGTGCGATGCGCAAGGCTACTCAAGGGCTTGAAAACGAAAAGAAAAGAGACAAAAGCAGTCAGGGACGCAGATGCCCATTTGGGAGGGCGCAAAACGCTCCCCCCCCTGTCGCCGAACTGCTCCCTCCCAGAATGAAAGGCCTACTCCGGATACTTCAACCGTAGCTACCCTAGATGTGAGAGGAAGAAACAGATGAAGGGATGGCGTGGGAGTATGGTGCCTCTATAGCTCAGTGGCAGAGCGTCTGTCTCGTAAACAGAAGGTCTGCGGTTCAATCCCGCATGGAGGCGGGATTGGCAACTTTTTTTGCGGAGCGCATAACCTCGTCAAAACTATATGGTCAAGCTATATAGCCATACACTTCACACTTCGTATTTTGGGGATCCCGAACTGCTGGGGAGGGGAGTCGTATTTGGCCTGAAAGCGGCCCTCGTGGTAGGATACGCCGGGAAACCTATTGAGGGGTATCTACAGGGGTTCACAGCGAACGGGGTAGGCGGCCGTCCATTTGCTCGTTTGACATCCCGTGGATGTCCAGTCGGTAATCGGAAATAGTAACAGGAGTTATGACTATCCTGCCGAGTATGCAAGAAGACATATGATGGAAAATACCTGCAGCTTGGA